GGCGCCGAGTGGGGGAGGGGGTGGTGGGGTTTGACGTGGTTTTGGCAAGGGCGCAGAGGTGTTTTGAAACCTCAAGGCCACATGGTTGGGCCTGAGGTGAGAACATATTTTAGGAAATAGTAGGGGCCTACTTTTCTAATGGCAAAATGACACTATTCTGTTATTTTTGCATTTGTAATGTTCTTTTTTGTATTTTGTATTTTAAATTTTATATGGCTTTTGATTGCTGAAATAAAGATTTGAAGAAAAAAATAATAAAATACATCGTCACATCACGATTATATAGTCAAAATGAAGCGCCAACAATTTTTCCATGATGCTTTAATAGGCCTATGTGTGATGTTACGGTAGGACCTATCATAGAAAATAAAACTTAAAAACATTTTCTTTGATGTATTTACTTTACTAACTTGAAAGCCACACATCCACCTCAGCACTACCATGGTGGTTAACATGGACGTATTATTAATATGTCCATGGTGGTTAACCATGCGCTTATTTGGTCGTTGAATTTCCCAAATAAGAATAATGTTATTTCATCGTCATGTGACGTCAGCACTCATCCACGAATAGAACAAGGAAGTGCGAAGTGAATAAACAATTGCGCATTTATGCATCTTTTGTACGGTATTTGACGAGGTGTAAGTATAGTTATTCAGAAATATGTAACATAAATAGAAAGGGAAATACAGATTATGTATTTTACTTGCGAGCGCAAACCACTTGTTAATTTGACAGGCCTGAAGTTAGGTTGTCGACGGCTTGTGTGACTGTGAGTGTGAGGCTGTGTGTGCACCATGCCATCATCGAGACTCTCACTCGCTTAGGCCTAGTTTGGCCCACGTCAGCAGGTAGGGTGGATATCAGAGGTCGTCTGCTGCCAGTGGAGCAGGTGTGGTGGTGAGGCCCAAACCCCTCTGAACAAAGATTTTAAGACAAACTTTAGCCTAGTTCTGTAGTCTGTACTATTAATGATCATTAATTAGGCCCTATGCCTACTATAGAATATAGATACATCCATGGAGGCAATACATTGGACCCAGGGAATGTTACATCCCTGAATATAATGGGAAGGGTGTGTGGATGGATGGGAAAATAATATTTTGGCAGTGGCTGGCTATTGTTACACCAGTCTTAGACCAGTTCTTAATTCTGTTTGGTTGATTCAATCCATACATACTGTGACATACAATCAGAATTAAGGATTGTTTTAAACTGGTGTAAAAATAGCCACTGCCTAAAATATTTATCCTCTTTTTTTCAAATGGTAGTTGACTCATATTAAGTTGATTTGAATATTTATTATTTGTCAATGCTTTCTGCTCTTTTTCCAATCCAGGTATCCCTGGACTGTGGCCCTGGTAAACACAGCAAGGGGCAGCTCTTTTTTTGCAGAGCAATAAAACAAGTGTACTACAGGCAGCAGATTTTAAAAGACAATTAATTATATGCGGTTGTAATTGTATCAATTTTTATCTCAGGTATGTAATTTTGCCATAGTTATAATGTTAAATATTTTTCCATTAATTGCATTAGGCCACTTACTATCGATTTGGGCTGTTATAATTTCTGTAGTAGTAGGTGGAGTAGCCATGCTTACAACACATACATACAGTAAATAAGAAAATGCTGACAAACGGATTGTTTCTTCACCTTTATACTGGTAACTGTTATTTTCACTATTAACTCTAAGTAATGTGTAATATCAGAGCATATCCTAACACATATCTTGACAGGCGGGCCCTTTCAAAACAAAAAAAGGAATGTTATTTAGTACAGTCGTGGTGGAACCAAGTAGGCCCCCAGACAGGCCCCTTAAATTTGTCAAAATTATTTTTAAAAATTTAGAAAAAAAGCTCAGCTTCAAACATGGTTGGTACAGATAGTCTAGGAACTCCATCTGTGAAATTCACTCCCTTGGCTCCCCCTCCCCCTTATTTTGAATTCCTGGATCCACCTTTGTACAGTTAAAGCCAATAAAGCTAAAGACAACCTGACATTCTGATAAGTAATACTGTAATAATAATATTAAAAAGCAAATAAGTACCAAAATTATTAAATTGTAATAAAAACAATGTTAAAATTCCAGGAGTTAGTCGACACAAGATCACAGTCAAATGGCAGTGAGCCACGAAGAGATTTCTAAGAAGATCTCTGACGATGTTCCTGCGGTGGCACTGAGCCAAAAGACTCGTAACAAACTTTCTCGTAATTTGAACCCACCTATGCCACGTGGAAATGATTGGAAGGGTCTTGCTGATGAACTGGAATTTACGTACCTCGACATCCGCAACATAGATCTCAACAAAGATCCGACTGGAGAACTACTTGATATTTGGGGCGGACAGAAAGATGCTACGATATGTGCGTTAGTAAAAGCATTAGAGGAGATTGAGCGGTATGATGTCTGTCTCTTATACACATCTAGATGTGTATAAGAGACAGGTAGTATAATATAATATAATGATTTACTAGTATGGTATGGTGTTTTTAAACTTTTTTATGCCCTTGCCACCTCTATCTCCTATAATGAAATTTGGAATACCATAACTGTATGAATTAATTTGAATTAACTTAATAGGAATAATTGCAATTATAGATACATTTTTATGTTTGCCCAAATATGGCATTAAAGTTTATATAAATGTTTGTTTTGCTAGTGAAAGATGCTGATAAATGGAACAGAGATAGAATACAAGTTGCAGAAGGTACGATATCAATAATTATTTTTGTTGATGAATTTCATTCTTGATGAAATTGAGTTTTATTTTCTTGTCATCATGTGTAGTTGATTAATTAAAATACTGGTAATGATAAACGATTTTTTTAATAAAGTAGCTTAAGGCATGTAATTTTGATTTGATTTATGAGGCATCTTACAGAAGAAGCACCAATTTCAAGATATCATCAAGATGTATATAAAGTGAGGAAAATAAATATAAAATACTTTAAAAATATTTTAAAAATGCATAGAGCAAAACCAAATACCATTAGTTCTTTGCCAATATTTATAGCCTATTCAGGGGACACCCCTATTAAGGGGACACTTCTTTTGAAGTCCCCTTAATAGGGAGCTTTCTATTGAACGACGACGGTAGAACGTAATGACATCACTAAAAGTCATCTGCGCATGCGAGAACTTTAAGTTCTCATTGTCACATGGATTCTAGGATGCAATTTTGGCAAATCTATGTATGCAGAGAACGTAGGACGGTTGGATGGTCATGCATGAGTGATTCCGTTCTAGTGTTGTGTCGTCGCGCGATTCGAAAGCTCCCTAATAATAGGGGTTCTAAGGTACTATGAATGCGTAACAATTTGCAATTTTCTTTTTCAGTAAGTTCACCATTACTCAATTCTAGTAACACATCCAGTACTGGTAAGGAAATTTAATATCTTTATATTTCCTTTAAATGATTGTTTTTCTAGATTTTATGGCTAACACTATATCTGAAATCTAGAAAATAATAACTTGAAAGGCGAGATTTTTTTTGTACCTTGTTTCGTGAACTTATTTTTTTAAAGATCGTCAGAGGAAGGTAGAAAAAGAAATTTGTTTTTTTATTTAGCAAATAGTTTTACCAAAAACATCCAGATGGAGAAGAACATGAAAAAAAAATATTGGTGAATGTAAACAGTGTAGTAATAGGATGATTAAATGCTTTCAACTTTTTTTCTGAAATTTACATTTTCTCCTGTCGGAGGCTGCGCTAATTGGCCAAAAATGAAATTTAATTTTTATTCTGAATGATCATTATTGACAGCCAGCTGGTTCGCTAAACAAGCTATAAAAAGTCTCGCCAAACTATTGTAACTTTTTAATATTGTTTTACAGAAATGTGTCTTACTAAAGCTCTGTCCAGACTATTAAATTTTCTTTGACGAAAAACTGTTGTCCATATATAGTCATGATGTGCCTATATATGGTCATGATGTGCCCATATATAGCCATGATGTGCCTATATATGGTCATGTTGTGATGTCATCATGACCATATTTAGGCATGTCACATGTTTTGTCAAACAAAATTTGATAGCCTGGAAGGTGTTTAAAAATAAATAACTTACTAACTTACTTACCAGTAGGACGTAAATTGAAATATACAAATACATTTCAATAATATTAAAACAGATAATTAGTTATATGCTTCTATCCACAGCTGACTCATACGATGCATTTGTTTGTTACACGGAGAAAGATGCCCCATTTGTCATTGAGATGATGAAAATGCTGGAAACTGAATCCCCAAATTCCATTAAACTCTGTGTTGAATTCCGTGATATCTTACCTGGTGCATCATGGGCAAGTGCATCAGTTGACCTCATTGGTCGAAGGTCAGTTCAAAGTTCAATCAAACGTAATAATGCAACTATTGCTGATGACCGATTTGTTTGTAGAGATGATATTTTGGAAAAAATGATTTTGTTTTTAATGATGATGACGATGATTGTGGTGGTGTTGATGGTGGTGACGATGGTAATGAATACGATGCTGAAGAGGAAGATAATTGCCCAATATATCATTATGATGATATTGCAGATAATTATATTGCAATAATCATAATATATTTATTAATCATAAATATAATAATAGAATTAATAAAATTGATAATGATGTAAATATTAAATTTTGTATTATATTATATAGATGAGATTTTGCCCATGACAATGCTGTTGATGATATAGATGTTACTCATGACATGATAAAAAAACAAAAACATAATAGTGATAATATTAATGATGATGATTTGATAATGATAATGCTGATGATAAGGATTATACAGTATGACAAAAATATGATGAAAATGATAATTTTGTCAAAACTGTTAAGATGGTTATGAGATGATGGACACACTTTAAAAAAAAATGTGCATATCATTTAAATGCAGGTGCAGGCGGATGATTGTAGTTCTCTCACCAGACTTCAAGGGCACACCTCAATGCGACTTCCAGACTAAGTTTGCACTCTCATTAGCACCAGGTGAGAATAAGTGAGGCTACTGATACACCAGTACATGACTTTCATATATGTAATTAAAATAGCAATGCATAGTATTAACACCGGTGTTTCTCAACTATTATGCAATTATAGTCAAGTCCAGAGGACCCTATAGAAAATAGAGGCTGAAGGAGCCATTATTCCCTGAAGCCTACAGCCTGCAAATTTATTAGCTTCACTGTGTGCGTTCAGAGCTTGGCCGAAATATTCATTGCGATGTAATAAGACCCCAGCTTTGCGGTTATCGCACACCAGTTGCAAAAAATAGCGGGCCCTATATCGAATTAGTGCCTGCTTGTGGATAGGAAAATTATGTGCAAATGAAATTGATGATGTCACAAATGATTTATAAATTTTAACTGGGGCAAAGTTTGAATCATTTTGAAGGTCCAATGCCTATAGAGGAGCTACAGTAGAAGGGGATGTGTCACTCCCACATGAAATAAATTTGGTAATGTGTGAAATGATGCAATTATTTTTAATTTTTAAATTTAACAATTTTTTATTTATGCATTTTGGTGTGTAATAGTATAAATATTAAAAACCTATATATTATTATTATTATAATTATTATTATTGTTATTATTATTATTATTGTTGTTGTTGTTGTTGTTGTTATTGTTGTTGTTGTTATTATTATTATTATTATTATTTCTCCTAGGTACTGAAAAAAGACGTATCATACCAATCATGTACAAACAGTGTGAAGTTCCTGAAATTTTGGCCCACCTAACGATTTGCAATTACACGAAGAAAGACCTCCGACCGTGGTTCTGGTCACGTTTGGCGCAGACCCTTGCCCTCAGCTGAATTATAAACACCACAATGAATACGATATGGACCTCAATAATGTTCGGTTGTGTAATCAAAATGATTGTATTCTATGATTTAATAACTAATCATTTATTTATGCATAAGGTTTTATATAACAGATGAGTGCTAATTTGGCAAGTTGCCAAAAAGCGTTTGTGCACTCTCGCCTCCGAAATGGTCACGCAAATGTGCCACCATTCCAGAGATGGCTAACCAGTGTCATGCCAGTATTAAGCGCAAGCCAAAAATTGAGATATTAAAATATAAAGCAAAGAAAATTGTGGCCAAAAGTTGGAATTTGGACTTTTCAAACATTAAAAAATGTCTGTTATAGTAACATAATATAGTATGGTATGGTGAAGTCGAGGAAGTTGGCTCGTAAGCCTGGAGCTGCCTGGAGCTCAGTTAGCGCACAATTATGATATTTGTCAAGGTTGATGTAATACTTTGAGGAAAACACCAGTATTTTTTTTTCCAAAACAACAGATGGAGGTGTTTTGTTTAACATGAAATTAAGCAAATAATGTTATATACTGTATGCTACAATACCTTGAAAAAATTGTGTCTTAATGAGAAAATCAAAGAGAGGAAACCATTTCGATCTCCGCTTCATTAGAAGAGCAACCATAACTGAAAATCGGAAAATCCTGCGGGTCATGGGTGTATTGTTCAAATACCAACCTAACTATAACCTGTAAATAACTAAGTAAATTAACTTGTAAATAATAATTGTATATACTTTATATAAATACAGTAAGAGTGAATGAGAGTAAAAATTATAGTTTATAAAATTTGCATAGAACCAACCTAACCATTTCCATTTTAAAAACCCTGTTTTTAATCATAATTTTACTTTATTTTTATGTAGTATAGTATAAATTGTAGAAATATAACTTGTAGATAACGAACCAAATAATATGATGTCCATCACAGAGGAAAATTACCAAAGATCAAGATAAATGAAATGCTGAAATCAATTAAATGAAATGAAATATATAGAGTGAAAAATTTGACAAATTTTGGCGATTTATCTTACTATTAGTCTTCTACTTATTGAAGGATATTGCCTGCTAGGTATTGAAGTGGTGTGTATCATGCCGACAGCTTACAGAGACGCTGATTCGTCGGTTGAATCGGGTGTGCGCGCCAAGGATAGCTACTCTATTATAGTGTACGTTTTTATGAAATTAGGCTTAACCTGTATGTAACCTATGAATCAAAATGAAAAAGCCAGATATTTATGTTATACTTAATTGTGGTGGTATTTTCACTAACATAAATAGTGTTTATTATATTTGTTTCTAAACTTATTTTTAAATTATATTAATATTTTCATCATTAAATAGACGTAGACGAATGTTAAAATATGTATTGCATAAACTTAAAATCATTGTTGAAAATAAAGATTGGACTTTTCAGAATATGTATTTGTATTCATTCTTATAATCCAATCTCTATATACCTCAAATTCTGAACACTAAAGTATTCCTCAGTGAAACCCCATAACGATTAAGCTACACCCCACTAGACGATTAAGCTACACCCCACTAGACACTCAAAGAACAAAACGACAACCCCCTTTCACTTGTTCTGTTATCTTTGGCGAAATCATGATCAAGTACACATGCTTTTTCCAGTATTTTAAAATAAATGATATTTTATAATGTATATTGTAGATAATTTTATAGATTGAACAACCCAATATAGATACAATGCAGACTTTGATCTAAAGGTCGTATTGTTTACACAGATTCTTGTTCTGCTATTTTACCAGTGGCTGAGTCTTCTTCGGAAACTATTACCCTTAGGGGCTGCGTAGAGTACAGTAGAGTTTTAATATTGCTCCTCAAAAAGGCCCTGCTCGGCCGATTTGGAATGATGAGACACCATGATGAATATCCAGAGCCCCCTTATTACCACTGGCTTTAAAGTCAGGCTTCGGAGGAAACAATTTTTTTTTTCACCGTTTCCCAGTTTTTCGTCAAACAACCTTTTTCCCTCCAAAGGCTGACTTTAATTATAGAGGGTTCATAGCGGGAATTTCCAAAAAGGTCGTTGGGGAAAAATCAAGTCTGGAGCGCCGAAAGAACAGTTCAAACATGCATTAGGCCTACTAAGCTGTAAAATTTTAGGGATTAAAAACTGTTTAGGGTCCGACTACCAGGCCGTTAACACCCACTACCGTTCTCGTCGGAATGTCATTTCCCCCCCCCCCCCATCGGATCCATATCGGGCAAAATACTGACGCCACCCCTGGTACAAAACAACA